GTGTGTGTGTGTGTGTATGTATGTATGTATGTATTAGGTATCTGTCTATATTTCTGAAATGAGGTATTATGAACATTATTTACATTGTTCGGACTATCGTCCCCATCTTTGTTACCATATTTATCACGGCGTTTCGGCCGTTGTACGCTCCGGACTTCTTCAGGTGGAGAACTTGGAGAGGGGAATTAACAGGAGATAACTGATAATTGACATCCATTAGACATGGCATGTGGAATCAGAACAGTCTACCCCAGCGAGCGAAATAAAGGGTTCAGTTCGACATTCCAGCCACCTGAAGAAGGCCAGGGCGTACAACGGCCGAAACGTTGTGATAAATATGGCAACAAAGAGGTGGATGATTGTCCGAACAATGTAAATCGTGTATGTATTAGGAACTTTTTGGTAGCCACATCTTCCTGTGTCATAAATCGATGAACTTTTGTCCAAAGGTTATCCAAAAGACATTAACTTGTTATAGTTACTTTAAAAAGTTCACCTCCAGTCCGAAAATTTGATTTTATTATATATGCATTGAGGGTAAAAAAAAGTCAAAATATTTGTGAAGCTAATTTTGCTAATGATAAAATTTGATAGTACTTGTATATTTTTAACATATTTAACAGTTTATAGCCATAGCATAACATACAAACTTACAAATAAACATTTCAAAGTTGCAGAAGCTATATTTTTCAGTTTGCTAATGATGTAATATTACTTAAGCATTTTTTAAAGAATTTAACAGTTTATACATGTATCACAACATAAATTTACCAATGATCAAATGCAAGATCTAGTAGGACTCGGAATGTCATATTACTACAATACTTCTATTACAAAGGCTCATAACCCTAATACATGAACACAGTGGATATCCATATTTCAGTAGACCCCCCGTTTATTTTAAACAGTATATGTATTTTCGTCTGCCGGTCTGAATATTCAAGAAATCTTTTTAAAGAAAATATGTGCCGTTCGACAGGATACTAATCTGCGTCCTCCTTTGCAGGGAAAACCGTCTATATATCCTGCGTGCTTCAGAACGACTGGGCCAGGAAGAACGTTACCGATCAAGCAGAGCTGAATAGTGCCTTTAAACGCAATCCTTCTCATCACGGATACTGAAAAGTTCATATCTGCTCAGTTTCCTATCCAAACGTGAACAAAGCAATTTCTAAAGAGGTAATAGATTTTGATTTTGATTTTTTTTTTGTAATCGTCTAGAATCTAAGTTCAGAATCCAAAGGAAAAAAACCTCCGACACGAGTAAAGTAAAAATAACTAACCAAAGTGCTCAATATGCTAAGTAGAGCAAAATAAGTAAACCTAAAGAGCCAGACTAACCTACCTAGGTTTCTCCTACGCGGATCGTCAGGGCTAAACCTAGGTAGGTAAGTCAGGCTCTTTAGGTTTATTTATCTATCTATCTATCTATCTATCTATCTATATATATATATATATGCATGTTTTCATTAAAACGACAGACAAAGGTACTACGGTTGAGCTTTTTATTTAATTTTTCTTGTGTTCTGACAAGAGCTTTCTTTTCTGGACAAAGAGTGTGTAAGAACTGTCCGAATGTTCTGTATTTCCGAGCGCTTTCGGCTATACCTTTAGCCATTATCAAGGATGATTCAATTATCAGCTTAGTAGAGTGTGTGTGTTCTGTGTATGTTCAGTGTGTGGTAGTGATGTTTTTAGTTTCCGAATACGGTTAGCACATTGTGGCTTTGTTCATAGTTAATATTGTTAAGAGTTGGCTTTTTCTTTTTTATTATTAGAGCTTCCATTATTTTTAGTCTTTTTTTGCAAGTGGATGCAGTTAATATATTTGTGTTTTCTACTAGTATGTTCCTAATAGTGTCGGGTAAATCTGAATGTGTGTTTAAATGTGTTCTGATGGAACTGTGATCAGATAGGTGTAATGTAAGACGTCTGGATAAACATGTGGTTGTGTAGCCGATGTAATTATTTATGAGTCCGGTTTGGTGAGGAACGCAGTTCCTTAAAGGGCATTTGAACTCATAGATAATGTTTGTTCTTTGGTTGGTGTGTTGTTATTTTTTAGGATAAGGTTGGCCGTCTTAAATATATCTATATTTTTGAGGATAAGGTTGGCCGTCTTAAATATATCTATATCTATATATATATATATATATATATATAAATTCCCAAGAAGATCGAATCCAGGTAGAACTCAATGTCCAGGACAGAGTAAGAATATAATATAAAGACTCAAACACTAATATTCCATGGTTATAATTTATTACATTGGAATCGTAATTACGATCCAATTCATCAGACGTACATATTGAAAAAGAAATCGGAAAGTAGGTCTGTAGAATTGTATTGTGATTAGGATTCCAATGTAATAAATTATAATCATGGAATATAAGTGTTTGAGATTTTTATATTTATTTAAAATATATATATATATATATATATATATATATATATATATATATATATATATATATATATATATCTTTTAATTACATCTTGTGGAAGTAATTCTGTTTAGCCGTTTCTTGCATCCGGTTTTTGAAGGGTAGAGGGATCACGGCAAATAACCTGAAAACTTCTGGTTCAAGTAACCGGAATTTCTCAGTTATATATATATATATATACACACACATATATATATATATATATATATATATATATATATATATATATATATTAGTGCCTATTTCGCAAATTTTCGCATTTTAGTTTCACCGACCATTACTTCTGTTGAGAATTGATCCTCTTTCGGTGCTCCATACTTGTGACCTTGAGTCAGACTAAGCTATATACTAAGATAAGCTGGTAAATATCAAGGAATTGATAATGTCTGAAGTATAAAAGACAAAGGAGCAATGTAGAAAAAAATCAAAAGATGGAGAGAAGGAAGAAAAACACGGAAAAATAAAATAAAACAGTCACAAAAAAAAAGAACTTCAATGATCTATAGCCTGAAATTCCTTTCTTAGAAACAGAAGCGTGCAGCGAAGAATCCTCGGCATTACTCTGCAAAAATAATATTGCACGCCCCAGTTAGACTCATCCTGCCTTTTTATATTTCCGCCTCTACTTGCATTGAACGCCCACCAAATTCTTTTTCCCGCCGATAAGCCCACATGACTATCTTGCATAAGTTCAAATGCGGCCACATCCAACTCGTAATTTCTTAGAGCGGCAAAATCCGACAATTCATCAGAAAGACAAATTCCTATTAAAACCTCATAACTCTTCATATTCTCCATATTTTTTGTCTTCTGAACATGTGGGTTTCGAACCAAAAATTGGCCAGAGCCATGCAGACATACATCATAGGCGTGGCAAAAAACATCAAGAAAAGGTGCGACAGAACAACCTCCCACATATAATTCCCAGAAATAGGCCACTTCTGTACGCTGTTTTGGACAGAGTCGTTAGATCAATTACAACGACCGAGAAGTGAGTTCGATACTCACTATTCAGTCTTAAATGTTTTAGCGAGATATGCTTGTTAACCATTACACCACGACAATGTGCCCCAGTTATTTTCCAAGCGTAACTTAGACGTGGCACAAAGCCGAAAGTATTGTGCACCTAGTGAGGATCGAACTCACTACTCAGTCGTAATTGGTCGAGCAAAGAGAAGCTTGTTAACCATTACACTATGTAGAAATGCCCCAAAGGTGATTTTCTAGGCGTAGCTCAGATGTTGCACAAGCCCGAAAGTTTGGGGGTACTGAGTGGGGATCGAACTCAGTCGTAATTGTTCTAGCAAGACAAGGTTGCTAACCCTTGCGCCACTTGGAGGTGCCCAAGGCCGAAAGTATGGGCCACCCAGTGAGGATCAACTCACCACTCAGTCGTAATTATTCTAGCGAGAAAAGCACCAGGTGGAAGTGCCCTATTTCTCGGCGGTATATGTTGGCTGAGGAGGGGGGGTTTCCATACTTTCGACATTGTGCCACATCTAAGCTACGCTTAGAAAATCGCCATTATAGGAGTGACAAAAAACATTAAGAAATTAAGGGTGTGGCAGACCCCCCCAGCCGACTGAGTGGTGAGTAGATCCTCACTAGGTGGTCCATACTTTCGGCTTTGGGCACTTCCAAGTGGTGTAATGGTTAGCAACCATATCTTGCTAGAACAATTACGACTGAGTTCGATCCCCACTCAGTACCCCAAACTTTCGGGCTTGTGCAACATCTGAGCTACGCCTAGAAAATCACCTTTGGGGCATTTCTACATAGTGTAATGGTTAACAAGATTCTCTAGCTAGATTAATTACGACTGAGTAGTGAGTTGGATCCTCACTGGGTGCCCCATACTTTCGGCTTTGTGCCATGTCTAAGCTACGCTTGGAAAATAACTGGGGCAACTCGATGTGGTGTAATGGTTAGCAAGCATGTCTCGCTAAAACAGTTACGACTGAATAGTGAGTTCGATTCTCACTGGGTGCCCCATGCTTTCGGCCTTGTGCCACATCTAAGTACGCTTAGAAAATCATTTCTCTCGCTAGATCATTTACAATCGAGTAGTGAGTTCGATCCTCACTAGGCGCTCAATACTTTCGACATTGTGACCCATCTAAACTAAGTTTAGTTGGTATATCCCGATCCTGGAATACCACGCACGTAACACATTAACTCGATGAAGACACCATTGCAACTAATGTCTTACCACTATGTGTGAGCTATTTCTTGGAGGTTTTGCTGTCGCACCCTGTACTCTCATGAATAGTAACGTCGTTAGAAATTGTTTGCCCTCAATTTTTTAAAATTCAGTTAAATTTTAACATTCATTTACAAGTATTGGTAAGACATGTGCCTGATAACGTAACTGTTCGGGTTTCAATTCTCGGTAGTGGATGCGCACTGCTGATGAGTCCCAAATATAGGACGAAACGGCCGTCCAGTTTCTGTTGAGGTTTCTTCTCGACTCGATGAATTACTTAATTCGTATATATATATATATATATATATATATATATTTGAAAATTAATTCAATACTTCATGAGCTCCCGATCCTTAGCTATGATTAATTAAGAGACGGAGATAGATAGATAGATAGATAGATAGATAGATAGATAGATAGATAGATAGATAGATAGATAGATAGATAGATAGATAGATAGATAGATAGATAGATATGCAAGCAGACTGCAACTGATAGAGATCAATCGAGAGAATGAGTGTAAAAAAGGCAAAGAAAGAGTGAGAACAAATAGGAAAATATAATTTTTTGTACTAATGCTCCCCCAATACCAGGTTAAAGAGCCACTCAAGGTAGAATGTTAAAGTGTAGCGTTGCCTGAGCTAAAGGAAAGGCAAAAGGTTTATGTGGTTATGCAGGAAAGACAATTCTAGAACTGAAGACGTCAAGATTGTAGTGATTGACGAAGCATCCTGCCGGGAGACTATTGCCCAAATCAGCAAGTCTTGAGAAGAAGTTGTCCTGGTGAAACTTACTCCTTACTTATGGAATACGAATGAAATAAAAATGATTCATCCATGTGTACCTGGCATACGAGCTCCTGTTGCAAAGGTCAGCCTGGAAGGCCAAGGACTGAAGCTCGTCATGCCATGGAAACAGCGATAAAGTAGAGAGAGGCTCGCGACGTTTCGTCGCTGAGAAAGGTATTGTAGGGTAGAAAATAACTCATCACCCAGAAGGTCACATAGACGCTTTTGAACTCTATCAAAACAGATAAGTGACACCTGGACAGTTCCAGCCAAGATATAACCCCTTACATTTTGTGTCCCTTGCAAAAATAATTTATAACAGCCAACTTTTAACTGGAGGTTTCAATGAACGCATTGAAAATGATTTTTATAAGACTAAACGTTCTACTAGATTGGCATCTAGGTCCCACGTTTTTACTGTTGAAATAGTTAAATGCAACCGCCGCTTCTATTCAAACAGTTTTTTCCTCGCACTTCCCAACAGTGGAACTCCCTTCCTCTTACTTGCTCCCTTGTTAACTACAATCTTTAAAAATTTAAATGCAACGTCAATCGTCATCTTCTGTTTTCTTGATTCTTGTCCATTTTTCCACTCTTTTTTTCTTCTCTTTCACTCTCCTTAACCCCAAACGTACTAGTGGCACTCCTGCTTTGCTTGGGGTCAAATACTTAAAAAAAGACACTGTAAATTATTTTTTTGTAGAAAAAATACTTAGGAATTCATTTTTCTAGAGAAATATATTGGAAATGATTTTTTAGACCCAGCCCAGATATGGCAGTAATACTCTATTGTTTGATCTGATCAGACTCTTGTAAAGTGTGAGAGCAACAAGAACAACAACAAAAAAAAAGAAAAAAAGAGAGACAAAAGAGCCAGATAGAGAGTGGGTCAACGTGGTAGCGACAGAATGAAACAGTCGTCGAGAGAAACAGAATAGATAAGTAGATCCCAAAAGAGAGATAGAGACATACAGCGACAGAGGGAGGAAGAGAGGGAGAGTTAGGAGAGATAGAGAGACATATAGCGATATATATATATATATATATATATATATATATATATATATATATATATATATATATATATGTATGTATGTATGTATGTATATAAATAAAAAGAAAGAACAGTAAGATATATAATCCGATATTTTTATTTTTACAAAATAGTTCTCAATGTAAATTTACAGAGCTTTAATATTATAAATTAATTGATGTAAAATATGGTTTTTTCCGCTACACAGTTCTAACCATGTTTCAAAAATGGAAGCTAAAAGCCCTGAATTTAATTTTGTAATTAAATTAAAGACATTAGTTCCATTTCATCCTCAAGCGAATTTTGGAGTAACTTTTAAAATTACTGGGTTTTAAAGACACAGCTAAAATCATAATTCATGTTTCCAAGGTTACAGATGAATCCAATTTACTAGACGAGGGTTATATATATATATATATATATATATATATATATATATATATATAGAGAGAGAGCTTGGCATACAGCGATAGAGCGAGAAAAATTAGAGATATTTAGGTAAACATCGATAGAATGAGAACAAAGAGAGATATGGCCATACGGCGAGGGAGAGAGTGAGGCAGAGAAATTACTATACAGCAATAGAGAGAGAGAGAGAGAGAGAGAGGAAGAAGATAGAATTAGGCATACAACGATTGAGAGAGAGAGAAAGAGATACGCATGCATCTATATGGAGAGAGAGAGAGAGAGAGAAAAGAGAGAGGGACATAGGTATACAGCGGTAGATGAAAGAAAGGAGAGATATATAGGCATACAGTGATAGAGAGAGAGAATGGAGATAGATAGGCATACAGTGATACAGAGAGGGAGAAAGGAGAAAGATAAGCATACAGTGATAGAGAGAGAGAAAAGAGAGATAGAAGCATAATGGAAATATATAGGCATTAATCGATAGATATAGAGAGATGATGAGGAGAGAGATATAGGCATACAGTAATAGAGAGAGGGAGAAAAGAAAGAGATAGGCATACGGTGATAGAGAGAGAAAAGAGAGAGATAGGCAAATAGCGATAGAGATAGATAGAAAGTAGAGAGATATAGGCGTACACAGATAGAGAGACAACGAGAGGCATATAGTGGTAGAGAGAGAAAAGAGAGAGAGATAGGCATACAGTATAGAGAGAAAGAGAAAAGAGATATTGAAGCATACACTGATAGAGAGAGAGAATGGAGAGATATAGCCATAAATCGATAGATATAGAGAGATGAAGATATAGGCATACAGTAAGAGAGAGAGAGAAAAAAGGGAGAGATAGGCATACGGTGATAGAGAGAGAAAAGAGAGAGATAGTCATACAGTGATAGAGAGTGAAAAAAGAGAGATAGAAGCATACACAGATAGAGAGAGAATGGTGAGATAGAGACAGAAATCGATAGATATAGAGAGATAAAGGGGAGAGAGATATAGGCATACAGTAATAGAGAGAGAAAGGAGAGAGATAGGCATACGGTGATAGGGAAAAAGAAAAAAAGGCAGGTAAATGTTGATAGAGAAAGAGAAGAGAAGAGACGGGGGGGATGAAGAAAGCGTAAAAAAGCGAGAAAGATTTGTGTTTTTCTTCGCAACAGCTGCTTGAACATATGACGCGCCATCTTTCTTTTTTTTTTTTTTTACCCCTTCTCAGTGTTCGCTATTCTTGTTTTTCTGATATCTACAACAGGCGGATTTGATGAACAGTTCTTTCATCCATCGACGCAATTTTAGGTCATGTTTTTTTTCACCTCCTGAAACCAAAATCTGCATTATCTTTACTCCAAACATAGGTAGGCCAGTCTATGACATATAAACATCTAGACTACAAGACAGAAGTTAAGGACTATGACCTACATTTTTCTGTCTTCAAACTTTTTTTTTCATATACTCTTCACACTTTTTCACTGACTTTTTCCAATTTTAATCATTCTATACCAAGATATAAAGCCATTAAAACGCAAGGGATACATAGATAGAGATAGATACAAAGCGATATAGTGAGATAGAAAGGAGAGAGATAAAATAATTCAGTGTTAGAGAGAGAGAGATGGGTAAACAGGGACAGAGAAAGAGAGAGAGAGATAAAAAAAGTGAGTGATATAGGCGTACACTGACAGATAGAGAGAGAGAGAATGGATATATATATATATATATATATATATATATATAGGCATAAATCCATAGATATAGAGATGGATAGGAGAGAGATATAAGCATACAGTGATAGAGAGAGAGAGAGAGAAAGGAGAGAGATAGGCATACAGTGACAGAGAGAGAGAGAGAGTGAAAGGAGAGAGATAGGCATACACTGACAGAGAGAGAGAGTGAAAGGAGAGAGATAGGCATACAGTGATAGAGAGAGAAAGGAGACAGGCATACAGTGATAGAGAGAGAAAGGAGACAGGCATACAGTGATAGAGAGAGAGAAAGGAGAGAGAGACAGGCATACAGTGATTGAGAGAGGTAAAAGAGAGATAGAAGCAAGATTAAAGAGCGAGAACAATACAAGGTTAAAAAGACAGAAGATAACGATTGACATTGCATTTAAATTTTAGAATATTAAAGTTGTCTGGAAAGCAAGTCGTCGGAAGAGAATTCCACAAGTGAGAAGTACGGGAGAAGAAACTCTTAGCATGGAACGTACGGTTACATCTACTCATTTCAACTGTAAAATGATGAGACCTAGCTGCCACTCTAGTACTGTTCTTGAATTCATAAACTCGAAATACCAAATAGGAAAGTGATATTTATTTTGAAAAATAAAAAATGTGGCACAAGGCCAAAATCATAAGGGAAGGCTGGTCTCATGTCTCATCTTAAACTTAGCTAGCCAAGATTACTGACCCAAACATACCACAGTATTCATTACACTAAAACCATACATCCTTACTGACCATTCTTATTACAGTCACCATAATACCTCGGGTCTCTATGTAATCCAAACTAGTTCCCATATGCACAATTTGTCCGTCGGGGTGTGGAATAAAAGTCTAGCTACCATAGAGGAGAGTAATATTTAATTTGTAAAGATACAAAAATTTGGCACATGGGAGATGGGAAAGGCTGCGCCTCTTTTGTCTTATATTAGGTTGGTGCAAAAATAATGACGTAATAATGTCGTTTTTTGACGTATTTTTCTTACGTCATTATTTTTGCACCAACCTAATAATTAAATTTAGCTAGTCACGATTACTGACCTAATCATACCACAGCATTCCTTACAGAAAAACAACTCATCTTTACTTATCATTCTTACTACATACACCGTAATACTTCAAGCCTGTCTTAACAAACAATTACCATGAAAATATTTATAAATATGACTCTCCCCAACGTTCTTGTTGCCTTAGCAGTGTTTCTACTTTTTCTAAGCTTCCCACTCCACGTTCCGCCATCAGTTGACACAAACTCGTTAAGTAGATGATGCGCTGTTGTCACTTATTTCCTTTGTTCTCGATGTACCCTGTGAGTGTTTGGTTTTCCAAACCTTCTTTCTTTATTAAATGTCAGCTGTCTTTTTTTGATGGTGACTATAAGTATTGTTTTTGTTAGAATTTTCTTTAATACTGTCGCTTTGCTTTTACTCGTTCCGTTGGGGTAATTCTCATTATCCTCCTGTAGAATCGCACTTCTGTTGCCACGAATTTTCTCTTTATCCGTCGAGAGATTACCCAGCATTCACTGCCGTATAAGAGGATCGATATCACACACCAATTCCGCACTCTTTGTTTGTTTTTTTTTTCATTAATACGACTCAGGTGGTGTAATGGATAACGGCTCGGATTGAGGAATCGGAGAGCCGAGTTCGAATTCCAGTCGGCTCCATTATATTCACATGCGTGCTAATATACTTGGGAAAGCTATAAATCCTCCTCTTCTCCCCCAGCTATGGGTAAAATAGCAGAACAGTCTGCGTTTTATAAATACTCTTGGGAAAGCTTTAAATCCCCTTCCTCTCCCCGCTATGGATAAAATAGTTAGACAGACAGGGTTCTATAGCCTTGGGTGGCAACCGTCTAAGAGAAAGTAACTCTGAATTCAAAACTGTATGTAGCCTTGAAAAAAAAAGGATCGTTTGCATTGGCTCGGTGATCCCGACTACGGTCGAATAATGATGATGACTACTCTTTTTCTTTTATGCGTTATATCCTTTCAGAAAAGAGGCGGTTGTGGCTCTCCACAACTTCCTTGCTTTCGCTGTACTAAGTCAGTTTTATCCCTTTACCATCCCACTATGTTCCTGTTCTACCACCCAATGCTACAAATTTGTTAAATAGGTTACTTGCTGTTTCTCTTGCTTCTCTTATCTCTTAATATGACTTCTGGGTATTGAATTCTCCAAGCTCTCTTTCCTCATGATACATTTCAGAAATTTCAACTCTTCTCTCGTGCAACTATAAACGGACGTTGAGGAGAGCCATTAGCGCTTACGTTCTAGTGAGACAATGCATAAAGAAGAAGACATGGTACTAAATAGAATAATCATTTCAAGATTCGGGACATAAAGAAAAACATGTTTTTATACTTCAGCACTGTAACGATAAAAGTATATTTGTGGTACTTTTCTTGCACGCCCTAAAATAAGGCTTTCGCGAAACTTACACTACAAGATAAGGACTACTAGTGAGTTCATCTTGACAACTTTTGCTTAAATAATCTATGTAGGGAAGTAGAACATTTTTAATATGGACTTTAAAAACGAATATTTTAAAAGTATTTACACTATTTACATTGTTCGAACTGATGTCTTCTCTTGTCATATTCACGTTTCAGCCATTATACGCTCCAGACTTCTTCAGAATCTTTCTATATTTCTGAGATACGGTATCATAATTATTTACACTATTTACATTGTTCGAACTGATGTCCTCTGTTGTCATATTCACGTTTCAGCCGTTGTACACGCCAGCCTTCTTCAGAATCTTTCTATATTTCTGAGATAAGGTATCATAATTATTTATACTATTTACATTGTTCGAAATTATGTCCTCATCTCTGTTGCCATATTCACGACGTCTCCGCCGTTGTACGTTCCAGCCGTCTTCAAGGGATTAGATTTTCGAACTGAACCCTTTATTTCATCCACCGGGATAGATTGTTCTAGTTCCACGTGTCATGCCTCTTCCGAATGTCTCAGTTATCTCCCTTTAATTCAACTCTCCTTGTTTTTGTTCACTAGTATAGTAGACACGTCTTGAACTCACAACTCGGCCAAATCACTGGATCCAGTGAAAGCTTTTATCCACTGGGATCAGAGTATGAATTTTTGGGATTTATAAACTGTCGAAGTGACTATTTTTTACCAGAGCTCATATTGCAATTTTGTTGTTATTATTGCTTTTCTCGAGGAAAGCAATATTCACAACAAAAATTTTCTCGAGAAAAGCAATAATAACGTCAAAAAATGCATATGAGCTCTGGTAAAAAAAAAATGTACTTCGACATTAAGTTTATAAGTCACCAAAATTAATACACTAATGTCCCCAAGGACACATGACCCAGCTGATAAAAGCGTCGGTTGGATCCAGTGCATTGACCCAAAATGTTATGAGTTCTATAAACCAAAACTTGGAGAGGTGAGTTAAAGGGCGATAACTGAAACATCCGAAATAGGCATGGCACGTGGAACAAGAACAATCTACCCCGGTGAACGAAATCAAGGGTTCAGTTCGAAAATCCAATCATATGAAGAAGGACAGAGCCTACAACGGCCGAAACGTCGTGAATATGGCAACAAAGATGAGTACAACTGTCCGAACAGTGTAGTGTAAATTATTACAATACATCATCTCTGGACTATAGACAGATTTTAAAAGTATATAATAATATCCACAAATATATTATGGTAAATATGGAGAAAAAACGAGGATACGTAAAACAAAAATAAATACTCACCATGGATAAATGAATAAAAAAATATGACAAAAAGAAACAGTAAAAAATAAAAAGGTCAGAGCATTATCGCTCTTCGCTCTTCAGCGTTTAATCGAAGACAAAACATATATGTGCAAAGTCACTAACAAGGGAGAAAGAAAAATGTTATCGGGGTAATTAGCAATATTAAACACAGACGGACTGAATTTCGACACAACAACCAGTCCTTCGGCCCACAAAGGGTGGGGGGTTGCTTGGGCTTAATATATAGAGGATTTCAAGCATTTTCGAATGATAATCCCTTTTTTTTCTGTTGATTATGGTGAAAAAAATATCTCGTAAAAGACGCAACACAAATGGGATTATTTATTATGTGATCAGCAATCACAGAACCGGAAGTATTAACTGGTAATTCTGGTTAATCCTGACAATATACTAAGCACCGCAGTGACATTTAAAATCATAAGTCACTTTGACTATTTACACTATTTAAATTTTTCGGACTGTTGTCTACATCTTTACTGTCACATTTACAACGTTTCGGCCGTTGTACGGTTCGACCATCCTCAGGATCTGTCTATTTCTGGGATGTGGTATTTTAACTATTTACACTAGTTACATTGTTCGGAATGTTGTCCTCATCTTTACTGTCATATTTATGACGTTTCGGCTGTTGTACGCTCTGGACTTCTTCAGGATCTCTCTCTATTTCTGGGATGTGGTATTTTAACTACTTACACTAGTTACATTGTTCGGACTGTTGTCCTCATCTTTACTGTCATATTTATGACGTTTCAGCTGTTGTATGCTCCGGTCTTCTTCAGGATCTGTCTCTATTTCTGGGATGTGGTATTTTAACTATTTACACTAGTCATATTGTTCGGAATGTTTTCTTCCTCTTTACTGTCACACTCACGACGTTTCGGCTGTTGTATGCTCCGGCCTTCAGGATCTGTCTATTTTTCTGGGATGTGGTATTTTAACTATTTACAATAGTCACATTGTTCGGAATGTTGTCCTCATCTTTACTGTCACATTCACGACATTTCGGCTGTTGTATGCTCCGGCCTTCTTCATGTGATATTTATTTATTCCACGGGGGTCGATTGTTTGAATTCCACATGTCCTTGGATATCTCGATTTTTTACTTAATCCCTCTTGATAACTCTCAAAGTTTTTGTTCTCTCCGCTAAGAGTATGGACTGAACTCTTTGGGTCAAGTCAAATTTTAGATGAATCAATCAACGATTGGTTGCATGGTGGCATGTTGGCGATGAAGAACCTCTTTACTAATGTATTTCAACAAAGACTGGGAAGTAAAAACCAGGCGTTGACTGGCAGAAAATTATAACGCTGCGTACTTTGAGAGATTTCCTAATCTAATCTAATATTAACCTTACCCCGCCAAGCTAATCGTAAATAGACGGGACACTTTTTTCTGGATTATACAATTTGGCTTTATTAAATTGTATAGTTTGAGCACAAATGTTAGATTGTACAATATTCAGAGGGCATCCATTTTCACTTAAAACGTTTAAAATAAATTCAGTTTTAGAATTTAATTTGGTTTTAGAAAGGACTCGATGAACCAAAGTCTTGATCAAATTCAAGATTTGTTGTTTAGAAGGAAGAGTTCCAAGCAGTGTATAGTCGGGTAAAAAAAATAGGCTTACAAAAATATTTGTAGAAAAGACAGAGGGAAGGCATACATCTAACTTCGTTCTTGAAGATAAACAACAAATGACGAACTCATTAAACACAATTTCAGAAAATTGTTTTCAAATGTTTCTAACAGTTATGGCTTAAGGCCATATCACCAGTACCCGTAAGATCATCGAAGTTAATCAGCGTCGAGCCTGTTTACTTGGCTGACCGCTCTGGAATACCGGAGACATAAGCTTGTATGTACGGATGATATTAATGGATAATGAGTCGGAATTGGTAATTGCAGAACCGAGTTCCAATTCCCGTTGCTTTCATTATATTCACTTATGTACCAATACACTTAAGAAAGGTATGATTCCACCTCTTTTCCCTCTTCTATAGGTTAATTAGAAAGTTTTGTATCATTAAAAATTATTATCTCAAAAAAAAATTCTTACAGTCTAAAAATAATTTCTGGCTTTAAATAACCTGCAAAAGGTTGATAAGCCGTAAAAAAAACAAATCGATCAATGCATTGTTCTCCTTTTCACTTAACGCTTGATGAAATTCATTCAATAATCCATTGGAAAACGTTAGACTATTACTCCTTTGCCGAATATTACTGTCTACCTAGCTCTTCTGTCAGATTGTGTTAAATATAGAAAATACCAATGACTACTTAGTAAATTGCAAACACTAGTACAGGGATATGTGGGGTGTGCAACAAGTAGCGGAAATTCAAATCGGCGAGGCGTATTCAAATTCGGTTCTAGTCGCCAGTGTTCACTTTCGTTGTACTGCCCTCGGAATAGGCAGGAACTACTACATCTCCCCCGCCTATGGGTTAAATTGCAGTGTCTATTGTATTATTTAGTTTTAGACCAAGAGAATACAAATTCTGAAGTCAAATCAGAAACACTCTACTTTTTGATGCTTGATAATTCACAGACAATAAATAGTCTGTGGAGCGTCAGGGTCGCCTGCGTCTTGAATGTAAATGACATGAAAAAAAGAAAAGGAATTTGTGGAGAGTCATGATCGCCTATGTCAGGTAGGGGCATAGCATTTAAAAATTATTTTTAATCGGGGTGTTTTTTTCCTACCTGCACTTAAAATTCCTGCATGCACTGCACTGAAAATTAGGATTTTAAATTCTTTATTTTTTTGTGCAATCAAACAACATTATGGCGACAACCTTAAGGTATACGGCCATTTTTTTTACCGTCATTATAATTAAGAAAGTTAAAAGATTCTAGTATTCGTTTATTTACTTTCCATATGTTTACTTTCCATTTTTTTCGTTCATCTTATCAATTATTCTCAGATCTATCTGTTTATCAACCATTATCCAGCGCAGTAAATAAAGGGTTCGCTTCGAAATTCCAAAGTATATCAGCTGAAGAAAGCCGGTTCGTACAGCGACCGAAACGTCGTGAATGTGACAATAAAAAGAAGGACAACAATCCGAACAATGTAAATGATGTAAACAGTTAAAATACCTCATCCCAGAAATACAGACAGATCCTGAAGAAGGTCGGGTCGTACAACGGCCGAAACGTCGTGAATGTGGCAGTAAAGGTGAAGACAACAGACCGAACAATGTAAATAGTAAATAGTTAAAATACCTCATCCCAGAAATATAGACAGATCCTGAAGAAGGTCGGGTCGTACAACGGTCGAAACGTCGTGAATGTGACAGTATAGACATATAGACATATATAGTCAGGAGAGATTAAGCATTTCAAACTGTCTAAATTACTCATAGATACATCACGAAAAGAAGTCTTTACGGCCATTTAAAGTTAAAACACCTGTTCCCGTACGATCAACGAAGTTAAGCAACATTGAGCTTGGTCAGTACCTAGATTGGTGACTGCTTAGGAATACCAAATGCCGTAAGCTTGGATTTGCTGGTGGTGTAATTGATAACAGCGATGAATAGTTCTAATACTCGTTAGGTTTGCTATATTCACTTGGTAAAAATATGAATCAACATCCTCTCCCCATCTATAGGTTAATTAGTAAGACTTGTATCAGTAAACCATTGTTATGTCGTATTTTTTAATCTAGGAATTATTTTCTGGCATTAAACACCTAACAAACTAGAGATTTCTAAATTTTCGCTTGAGGATGAAACAGGGCTTGATACTAAATTTAATTTTAATAATTATATTAAGGGTTTTGGCTCTCGTTTTTGAAACATGAGAACTCTTATGTAGCGAAGGAATCATATTTTTTTTTTAAATAATTATAATTTAAGCTCTACTTCAGTATGGAGCACTGTTTTTTTTTTTTAAATGAAAACAAAAATAATAAAGAACTCCGGATTATTTACCTAACGTGTTCTTTCCTATTTTTCTACATATCTGCACACACACACACACACACACACACACACACACACACACACACACACACACACACACACATCGATGTATATATATATATATGTGTATATATATATGTGTGTGTGTGTGTGTGTGCGCGCGCGTGTGTATGTGTGATTGTCTGCTGGATGGTAAGGCCAACAATTTTCTCATCATAAATTTCTGGCATTCTTTCCTTACAGTTAAGTATTATAAGTCATATATTGTTTATTTCAGGATAATTGCGAATATATATATATATATATATATATATATATATATATATATATATATATATATATATGTATGTATAGTGAAAATATGCACTCTGTCTCCTTCATCAAGTTGTTGTATACAAAATCTTTCTTACTCGTCTGATATAAATGGCAGCGTTTATTTACTTAAGAATATCCATACAGTCTCTTTCACCGTTCCGGGTGCAGGGCGTTGCATAGACAGCAAAGAGAGAAAGCAAAGAAAGAGAGCGCCGAGGTGAGGCAAACACAGTTTAACACCATTGACAGATACAGATTTGAATTTGTATTATCAAAAAAATGATAGCAACATTAATAAAGATGAAGAAAAACTCGTAGTAACAAAATAAAAACGAACTGCTTGATCTGAAACGGGATAATTGGAGAACAAAAATAACGTTCAAAATATTAGTGAACCTGCTTCATCTAAAAAGCAACAATAAGCAGACAGAGTTAACATTTGCTCAAATAATGATAAGGAAAGTATTTACTGTAAAAAGCAACAATATTAAGATAGTGTTAAACTAGTACTGAAATAATAATAATGAAAATGCTTCATCTAAAAAGCAACAATAATAAGATGAAGCAAAATTACTAATAAACTAATGATAGAAAAAAAGGTTTCATCTAAAAAGCAACAATAATAAGATGAAGTAAAACTAGTAATAAAATAATAATAGTGAAAATGCTTCATCTAAAAAGCAACAATAATAAGATGAAGAGAAACTAGTAATAAACTAATAATAGCGAAATTGTTCATCTAAAAAGCAACAACAATAAAATGGAATAAAATCTGTACTAAAATAATAATATAAAAAGGTTTCATTCGAAAAGCAAAATGATGTCATAAAAATGTTTCAAATAAGAAATATAAAGCAAAGATAATCAGATGGTCTAAGACAAGTACTAAAATAATAATAGTCAAAAGGCTTCATCTTCAAGAGGCCTAATAAAAAGATGGCACGAAGCTTGTAATAAAAGAACCATAGTTGAGAATACTTCGTCGAAATTGCATAAAAAAAATTGAAATAAAACTATTAATAAAATAATGATGGAGGAAAACGCTTCATCTAAAACACAATAAAAATTAGATGTCGTAAAACCTGCCATGAAATAATGTACTTATCATTTCAATATATTGGCTAGATCTGTAAAAATTTCACAAAGAAAACAAAAGCACACGAGGCGAAAGAAAAATAACAAAACATAACATAAGAGTTAGTAACGTTCCTGACAATGTTGTGATAAAAAAAAGGTGATACATTTTTTCATTCTAATGGTGCTAATATTTTCTTATGGAGTTTTTTTTTGTTTGTTTTTTTTAGATGTTTTAGCCTGTGAGTTAGAGAAAAATGAAGGTGTTGACTAATTCGGAGTGTCTGTTGGCGTCTAGAGATTTACTGATGCAGGTGGCGCTTTGCACGGTTCTTCCATCGGAACATCTGTGTAAATGCAGCGACTAAGAAGAAGAGAAAAACAAGAGAGTCGGAAAAAAAAGTGTTTATCGTTTGCTTTTATTGTTGTCTCTCGCTAATGGTTCTGCTAATGTAGTGTAGGTAGAATTGCATTCAAAATATTTCCTCGTCGACATTTATATACAAATAATTACTTGCGTACAAAGACTACTCATATATATACAAGCACACGGGGGCTACTTAAGAACATATATATATATATATATATATATATATATATATATATAACGTCCTGGGTATGACGATAAACTACATCCGCGTCCTGGGCAAGACGATAAGCTCCATCCGATAGCAAGGCCTCTCACTAAGAGGTTCTGAGGAGCGTCGAACCACCTCTTAATTGCTGGTATTAACAGGTCCTGCCTGACCAGCGGTAGTAGCACCTGTTAGGGTCCCAGCACCTGTTAGGGTAAAACACTATGAAAGTGTAAAAATAGGTTTTAAGACCAGCAATACACTTTTGTAAAAAATTATACCAGCAAAAGAATTTTGACGAAAAATTATTACCAGCAACACATTATTACCAGCAATACACGTTCGAATATATATATATATATATATATATATATATATATATATATATATATAGTTTATGGAAAACTAGGTAATCCGTATAGGTAAACCTAAGGAGGATAACATCCAGAGAGCTCAATGTAAATCCAGAGCAAATAAATCAAATAAAAATAAGTTAACCGTTTAAATGTGTCAATGTCTGCTAACTCACTCATGTCTTCTCTCTTCCCCCTCACTTCCTCACTTCGTTAATTTACATATGTTTAATACGGCCCGTCAAAAATGTGTAAATTTTCTTTTCATTTTTTGTTTGGAAGTAAAGTCTGATGATCCGCAGTCCTTTTAAAAGGGCTCTGGTGAAATAATTTATTACAAGGAACCTTAAAGTGGTCTGTTTTTATTTAATATATATATATATATATATATATATATATATATATATATATATATATATATATATTACCAGCAATAAAAATTTTGAATAAAATATTACCCAATAAAAAATGTGGTCGCCATTAAAAACAAACCAAATGATATATATAAAACATATATATATATATATATATATATATATATATATATATTAATTTAAGAATATCAAACACTTAAACTAAAGAGTAAATTCATTCAATAAAATCTCCATTGTCTTCAACCAAGCCCTCCAGAACGGCTTCGAAATTTCCTGCAAGGTAACCTTGTTTAATTTGCTGAATGCTGCAATAATCCTTGTCTTCAGTTCCTCTCTGGTGTTACAAGGAGTTTTGTTTGTCTTTCGCTCAACGGCGCCCCACACATAATAATCCAGGGATTTGCAGTCCGGGGAGTTAGGTGGCCAGAAGTAAGGGCTGATGTGGTCATAGATATTGTCCAAAAGCCACGACTACGTTCCCCTGCTTGTGTAGCATGGTGCAGAGTCCTGTTGCTAGGGTCTTCCGGAAGCCACCCTCTTGACTTAGGGCAGTACTAACCCCTCAAGACACTTGATGTAGGCCTCCGTGTTTGAATTTGAGAACCCGGATGAAGATAACGGAGGCATAACTTCGCCGTCACTAGTGATCACTCGAAACACCCTCGTAATCACCATTAGACTCATCCAACTCATTTTCGAATCCTCTACACTGTTCTCAAATTGACGCACAAATACTCTGAAATAATCGTATTGGAGCCTCCGGCGCGAATGCCAAGCAGTACAGCATGTCGTTTCAAAATTTTTGGCTGATTGAATTGTGTCATCTTGCGCTTTTTCTCACAGACGTTACTCTACTATACTGTGCAGTTAACAAAATCAAAAAACAACACGCATGTACGAAATTAAAATAATTATATATATATATATATATATATATATGTGTGTGTGTGTGTGTGTGTGTGTGTGTGTGTGTGTGTGTGTGTGTGTGTGTGTGTGTGTGTTATTAACTGTTCCACACTTTCAGAAATCGAAATCGTTTATTTGCGGTCTTTTGGAAGAGGATTTTTTCCCACTTTGCCGCCTCTTTCCCCGCAGACGCAAAGTTACTAGCCTATCACTACTCTATTACTATTTTTATAGAAAATTTTCAAACGAATTCAATATTTTATTCTATCAGCTCAGATGTTCACATTTAAAACCCGCCACGGACCGTATCACATCGATTCCTTCTGTATACCATTTGTAAGAAAGAAGTTCCATTCACACAATTTCTTTACTACTTTGTGGATTAGACTCCCACGTCGATGCTTCCCGAACACTACAATCATAACCACTTCACAAGCCAGGTCAATAGATATCTATCCGCCATATACTCATAATCTTCACTTCCTATACAGTTCAGTTAGGTTTATACAACACAACTTAGACAATAATATTTTACATTGAGTGGCTCTTAAGTGTTGCAATTGGTGAACATTTATAGGAAAAAATACAATATTTTCCAAGATTTAATAGAATCCGTCATTTTTATTACTTGAAACGCTATTATAGTAGATACTTTGTATTTGAAATAGACTCGTGTTATGATTGTAGATAGTGAAGTGGGAATTTGTTTTCGTATCTGCATTTAGAAATGAGCTTAGATTATTTGTAATCTATATTGTTCTGATGTGGTGATTATGGCTATTTTCTCCTCTCGACAAAGGTCAGATATAAATGAATATATAAATAAACTAAACAAAATTAATTAATTAAAAAACTAAATGAAATGTCCAAAATATAATACCTAAACTACCAAAAAATTAAACAACAAGTCCAACAATTTAAATATCTGGGAAGTGTTTTTAACAGAGGACGGAAAGTGTCACAATGAAATCCGAAGG